AGAGGGCCATTGGAAAGTAATTAATACTATCCAAAAATTTTAAATTTTCTAGCGTCATAAGAATAATTTTGGTTCCTCTCATTATAATTTCGGGTTTAAAGGATGTCTCATTTAGTATATATTTCAAGAGAAATATTAAATCAAATGCGCCTCCATTGTGTGAGATAACCAAAATTTGTTTAAATTTTTGTCTGATTGAAAGTAAATGATAAAAAAATCCATGCATACACTTTGAACCCTTAAGTTTTTGTAATTTAATTCCACATTGTAAACAGGTTGGGGACGCCGAGTCTAAACAAACGCTACAGACTTGTTTAAAAACACATAAGTTAACTATGTGCTTAAAAGAACCAGTATTGTAAACTTCATCTTGTTGAGTTTCTAAATCAAAAAAAACAAAAGCTATTTTTTCATTTACATTTAACCTTTTCTTTGGTAAATCAACAGGAATAAAGCAGAAATGACCCGTCTGTTGAATTTTATTACATATTCGGCAAAAGAATTCGCCGCAGACATGTGGATTCTTTGGATTTTTTCTTTTAAAACAGAGACCGCAAAGTTTAATTTTGTTACAAACATCGTTGCTTACGTGATTGTCAAAACAAGTCTGACTTTTGAAACTCCTATTGCATACGTAACAATTTATCTTCTGTACTAGTTGACAAATGGGTGGCTTTTTACATTGGTAACATGAAACAGAGCATCGATGCGAAAATTTATTATTAAATGATTCGTGACAAAATTCGCAAAAATATGAAACTCCAAAAGCAGCAGTCAGGGATGTAATAACGTTAAAGTGATTGTTGTCGTGAATGAGGTTTATACGTTGCCCGTCCCCGGTGCCTTCAAAGAAAACAGTGCGTTTGGTAATAGCCTTATTTCTGGCATAGTTATATACTACAATTTTGTATTTCGGACTTAGGTGAGTTTGAAATTTCTGTATTTCTTCTAGCCCCGCTCCCCCTTCACCTATAACTACTCCTGCCGATTGCGTGAGATCTATTGCCCTTTGCGTTTGAAACCTATGCCGATCTTTTCGTATTCTTACTAACTCTGAATCGTTTTCGATTACCGCTATACCCACTACCAAAGCACGAGCTAGGCAAAGATTGTCTCTATTCCGAATAGAAATTATCCCTCTTCGGCGAGCGCATTCATCGTCAAAGGAATTGAAGTATAATTTCTTTCTACCGGACCCACGGGGTAAAGAGACCGTCGTAACGTTTAGAATAAAATTATCAGTTTCTAAACCCACGTTATTTGACTGAAACACCTTACTAAGTATATTAAACACGTCATCGACTGTGACGTTATTAGCATCTTGAAAAGGAACCCAACCCTGTCCGTTTGAGAATCGCGTGGAATTAAATGTTATCCCCACTTTATCGCCCTGGTCTAAATTAGCGCACTGATTCTGTATTATTTCCGATATCGCAGCTTTTACCCAAACAAGAGGATTTTCATTTAAAGGTACCGGGTTCAAATGAAATTCCGTAGAACGACCAACAACCCCGAACCTACACACTTTCCGCACAGACTCCCTTACGATAGTGTATTTAGCCATTATTTATTAATTATTTTCAATTGTTTTTATTTAAAAACAAAGAAATACAGAGGTTGAATACGTCTCCTTCCCTCTATTACCACTTATGTTAAAAGAAAAAAAAAATGACACTAATTATTCTTTTAAAATTCGGTTAGCGGATTGTTTGCTAAGACAAACAGACTTGTTAGGGCTTGTGACCGACTTGCTTCGACCCCTTTTTATCCCTGGAATATAAAAAGCCTCACTGTTTCTCTTTCTACTTTAGTTTTCTTGAAATCTAATATGGTCACACACGTATCTCATTCAAAAAAAAATTCAATAAATATTCACTTGAGGAAAATTAAAAAATTGAAGGATCAAATTAAGGTGTACGAAGAAAAGAAAAAATTGGTAAAACTCCTTGAACGTCTGCGGATTTAAATGTAAGTACCCGAATTTAAAAAAAAAAAAATAAAAACAAATTCACCTACCTTTATTTCGAGGAAGCACAAAAATCGATGACAAACTCACCACAAACTCACCACAAACCAGTTCACTTGGTAACAAGCAAAAGAATAATAATAATTGTAATAATACGAAAAATATCAGTATGTATCACGTATGAAAACAAAGTTGATATTAAACTGTTGATCACGTTTGGTTTCCTTTAAATACCAAAAAGACTCCTAAAAATACAGGACCGAACTTGAATTGGCTTAGTACTGCAATTTCCATATTCGGTGATAATATCTAGTTATTTATAATAAAAAAAAAGATTCATTCCTATTTCAGCTTTTGTAAGTCTGCACTGATCAAGAGAAAAAAAAATGGGGTAGAAGAAAAAAATAAATAAATAAATCAGCCTAATGAGTGCGTAATTAGTAACCTAAATTACACTAAAATGTGTTTTTTTTTTTCGAGGAGGATCAAATTCATAAAATACGTCCCTGCATGATAAATTTTCTCACACTTTTCGTATTCTTTCGCGGGTGGCTCTCGATATACCTACCCCAAGACCACCCCATTGAATAAAATAAACTCATAAAACTTGCAAGGTTTGTTTTATTTTCTTTGTATACTAAAACACACCGCCGCTTCGCGGGTGGCTCTCGATATACCTACCCCCGAGACCATAAACACTGCAAGTTCTGTTTTCTCACACAAAGTCGTAAAAGACACCTGCATCGAAATGAGGTTTAAGGGTGGGTGATGGTCAGTTTTGGCGCCGAACCTTTTAGCCTCATTTAGTCGTGAATGTTCAAACACTGCCGCTTCGCAGGGTGGCTCTCGATATACCTAGCCCTGAGACCATAAACACTGCAAATTCTGTTTTCTCACACAAAGTCGTAAAAAGACACCTGCATCGAAATAAGGGTTGAGGGTGGGGTGATGGTTAGTTTTGCCGCCGAACCTTTTAGCCTCATTTAGTCGTGAATGTTCAAATGCGCTTGTAGTCCAATATTAAAGTGGAAAGTGCGTGATAGATCCAAATATCGTTCTATTTTCGAAACGGTCTGTTTTGTGCTGCTTGTGATTTTTGGTTACGGTTATAGTGAGACACAGTTTTGTTTGACAGCGCGTTTACTTTTTTTCGAGAGATTTTACCATAGACAATGAACGGGTAAGTGACTAATTAGATCATTATTTGTAAATCTGCGAGTGAATTATCCTAAAGCCTTTAATTAACTAATCAGCCGCTGTTTATTGACGAATAAGTTTGGCAAAATTTTAAAATAAAAATAAAAAGGGAATGCCTCTTCGAAAGAGCAATAAAGCAAGGGTCTTTTTTACCGGGGTTAGTTTTTCTTTTTTTCTTTGCGTGTAGCCTAGAGAAGACAATTACCTGATTCAGTTTTTTATCTGCATTATACAGGTGCATCGCTAATGAAGTTTTACATTGCCAACGCTGCATGCTCAGGGCCGACACTGTCTGCCCTGAAGCGATATTCGCATGCAATGGCGTCGAGGCGCATACGTTCTGCGCCTCGTGTGCCGATGTGATTGGGTGGTTACAAAATGAACCGCCGCTACTTTGCCCCTTTTGCGGGATGATTGTTTTTCGCTCCAGGGTGCTGGAGCGAATGGCTTTTTTGGGGGAAAGGTAAATGTTTTTGTTTTTTAAAAAAAAAAAGGAAGCAAAATAAATAAATTAAAATAACTCGCTATATTCTTGTTCATCATAGAAGACGCCAAGAAATGGAGAGGATGCCTGGCCCTCCACCCTTAATCCCAATTCAGGAGATCCCGAAGTAACTAATTTCACCCCTTATTTTAAAATAAAAATACTAACACTTTTTTCAACCAAAAAAAAAAAAAAAAATAGCTTCCAAGACGTAATCTCCATCGGGTCCAGCGAGGAGACAGCGGAATTCCCACACGATGGCGGGGAAGTTAGACCAGGTTCGCCAAGCTCGGGGAGTAGCACCATAAGCTACATTTTCGACTTGGCGCCTCCCTTGGATCCTGAGGAGTCGCTCGATTCGGGATATGAACAGGAACATATTTAAAAAAAGTACGAGCGGGTATTTCCACGATAACGCTGACACCGTTAAATTTCTAATTTTCTTTTTGCAGATTCCGGAATATAAATATTTACTCGTTACCTCTCGTGTTTTATTTCCCCTGTCCTTTGTGCGCAATAAAAGTACAGTTTGTACCCGCGAGGGTACACATTCGCAGAACTATATGTTTTTAAAATAAATGTTTTGGTCAATATTCACTAGGTGGGGTTACCTTATTAAAGAAAATCTTATTCCAAGAGGGGACACTAGTTTACATTCGAACCGCTAGGGGGTGCAGATGGTCACGCGAACAATATGATCAAGTCTCATTGACGCCATTGCTTTTCTTAGGGGTGGGAAAATATCTGGGCTCTGATTGGCTTCGCCGCCATCGCAAACTAGAGGTGGGGAGATTGATTAAACCCCATTGGTGCTTGCTTATCCAATGGGAGCCAGTTTCAAGGGATTATGGGTAAAGGGGGAGGAGCTAGAGAGTCGTGGGTAAGGAGGACACCCCACAAAAAGGGAGAGGAGTGGGGGAAGCCTATATTGTACTTATTCACTACTGTGCTCCAGTCAAACGGCCGTCATGTATATACTTAATGTTTCATAATTTTTTTATATCGAACGTAATTAATTATTGTAACTATATTCCAAATGCGCAAATTGAATTTTATAAATTGTAAACCGTACGTTAGTGCGGTTTGTCGCAGGATTATTATGTTACGGCGTATCGTGTTACCCCGTTTTCCGTTAAGCTTACTGTTTTGCGTTACATATCTGTATTTTTTTTACTGTCCGGACATATTTTTCCCGTTTAACAATATAACGCGTTCGTAACGGTTCTAACAATACCTATTACCTATGCGTTAGGTAATCGCTAAAATTTTTCTCAAGGTTACATTCGATCGACCTTATACGAAATTATAGCGCACCGTTAGCCTTTATTCAAGATCTCCTTCGTTTATACGTACCAAGTCGGTGCTCATCGTGTTGCAACCCCTAAGCGGCAGAGTATAAGCGATCGGAGAAGTACGCTGTACCCACTCACCCATGCAGTGGGTGTTTTTCGACAAACCGCGAGGATATACCATCCCATTAAACTTGCCCGATGTCGTGCTGATGCTGACCACGATCTCATCGCTGTTGCAATCGACGCGGACGTCGGCGTCGGCGATTTCCGACGCTGCCAGTATATTGGAGTCTTCGACTACTGAAACAAAACGGCTTCATTAAAACTATATCGTCTAAAATTTAATACTAATTGTCCATGATAAAGTTCCACAGACTTGGCCCAGTGGCCTTATTAATACGACCCCTAGCAGAACTTGAACTTCACAATTTTTTTCTAATTTTGGCGCAATATTCATTTACTGATTTACTGAAATGTTTTACATGTAGTGCATATTTTGTGAGCCCAATGAAAACAAAATAGTGTTTTTTTTAGTGTCAGCTAATATAGCACAGACCAAAAGCCATCACGTCAAACCGAAAATTATAATTAAAAAAAACTCCTATTTTTTAAAATCGTTTGTATATTTGTATTTGTAATTCTTAAAAAAAAGAGAGAACATAATAATATATACTTTATGCTTCTGTATTTTCGTTGTATACTTTGAACAATAATACAAATTTGCCCCTTTTCCTCATCATGTTCCTTATATCTGGCAAAATATAAACTATTAATTGTTGCTAAAGCCAGATAGATTTCTTTTCTTCGGATGTTAACTCATATTTTTGCTTTTGAGGGCTCAACACATAGGCTACAAAGTTATATGACTTGAGTTCCTGCTCATATCAATCCTGAATTTTTTGAATTTTTGATAAAGGTACTTCTATAACATTCTCGAAGATATAGTGTAAATGTTTCCGCTGCTCTACAGCATCTAAGATTGTAGTGTTTTTTCATTGCAAAATATCAAGAGCAACTGATATTGGTTTTAAAATGCCTAAATATTCTTGTGTTGCATGTTTAAGCTCAATATTTGATACTTTTTGGTAAATGGTCTAATCAATTTGGTTTTTGTTTTCTGAGTGACGTACATCTTTAAACAATCAGCAACGCTATTCCATCGCACATCACTTACAAGGATTAAAGCGTTGCCTCCTCCTGCTTGAATGAATTTCGCTTTGACTAGATGGTTATCGCGAAAATACTTAACGATTTGGACTACATGTTCTTTGACGTCATACAAAATATGAGCGGAGCAGCGATAAGTTATAACTTTTGAGTCTGTCTTTTCTACCAATGTTTTTCTTATGAGGGCCATATTTGCTGAGTTATCTGTCAAAATATTTTAGTGATGTTGTGATTCACACGAAGAAATTAGGTCACAAACTACTTCAGTCAGATATTGTGAAGTATGAGGTTTTCCCTCATACTCAGTGTGGACGTTCGACTACCCGTCAATGGACATACACATGGTCTTGAGAGAAAACAGGAACATTTTGCCGTTCCTCCTCATACATGTCATCTAAAAGGCTTGTTGAAAACACTTCGAACACTCGAACTCGGAGCGCGAGCATTGAAGATGCCAAGTGAGATTTTGGCGAAACGTCTGCAGGATTCCAGTCGGATGCAGGATTTGCAGGATTCCAGTCGGATGCAGGATTCCAGTCGGAGTTCAACGAGCGAACGGATGATATCTCGGAATATAGTGTCATCACATTTTTCCATCCGTGAATCAATACGTGAGAATATATATATATATATATATATATATATATATATATATATATATATATATATATATATATATATATATATATATATATATATATATATATATATATATATATATATATATATATATATATATATATATATATTTATTTAACTTTCCATCTTGTAGAAGGTAGAAGTATGGTATTTAAAGTATGGTATTCACAAAAACGTTTTCAAGAATTAAGGCATTTATTATTTAAAAAATATCATGTCCTTTTTGTTTTTTCCTGCCAAAATTTGAATTCATGCATATTTTATTTATGTTTATAATTTTTAGATACTTATTTTTAGTTTTTACGATAAAGAAAAAAGGATTTCGTATTCATATTGTATAATATCTTCATATTAGGTAACGAAGGTACACGATTTTCAACGTATTTAAAAAAAGTTAACCGTATTAATTTTATAAAGGCCAATAAAACCTTTACTAATTTTTTAAAAGAAATTTGGGGGCATATTTGGTGTTAACTGGTATAAAGTTACGACATTCAAAACATTAAATAAATATATAAATAAATAAATAAATAAATAAATAAATAAATAAATATATATATATATATATATATATATATATATATATATATATATATATATATATATATATATATATATATATATATATATATATATATATATATATATAAATAAATAAGTAATAATAAAACAAAATATTCTTTACCTTTTGCTGCTTATTAAGTCTTTGAGCTATCCATTGAATTTCTTTCTGGTAGATTTTACAATTCGCTCTACACCCAGATTTATTTGGATCTGTTGTTTTAACCTTAAACTTAGTGCGTATATTGTTTATAGAGGCTTTGAATTATTTTGTAATTGCTACACAAAAAACCGTAAACACATATTCTTATGAAATTTAAAAAAAAAAATCAATTAAAATCAAAGAAATCAAAAAATGCATGATTTTTTTAAATCAATGATTTTTTATTTTTTAATAAAAATCAAGTTTGCCCAACACTGGGTTAAATAAGTTTTTAGCTGCAAGATTGTATCCAACATAATTTAGTGGAAGAACATAAAGTTTATACAGTGCCGCACGCCCAAAATTGAAAGCTTTTCAATAGTTTTAATTGCGAAGTGTCACGTAGCTGGGCCGTAAATTTACGACGAAATGTGAAAAGCGCAAGGACACTGCTCGCTCGATGACTGCAAACGTTTAATCATCAAAAAGTGCACGTTATTAAAAAGCAAATTGCATACAATCACGGTGCTAACCGCTTGACGTAAATATAAACGGAAAAACGTACCTATATGGAGCTAGAGAAAAACAATTTCATCGAATCAAGCTGCCATCAAATTTAATGTCGACGATTTGTAGATAAATCACCAACATACGACTCAAGGCTGTATTTCAAATTCAACGACATCGCGTGTTGTTTGTCATTTTACTGGGACAGAGTTCCTTATCTACAGAAAAGTAAACGCTTGCTTTAAAATCCATCAAAAAATGGGAGTCAAGTTCACATTTTCTTTATCGGTGCCTTTTACAGATCAATAATTACATTATAACGGGGTTTTGAAAATATTTTCTTTGTCAGCGACAAAAATAACAACTAATTGTCACATATATATCTAGTTAATATACCATGGGACCCCTCAATAGATGTGAGGCATGCGCATGGAGACAGATGAATCAACGATAGGCATTTAGATCAGATCAACAGATCATATAGGTATTAGATAATATAGTGACCCTAGCACAGTAAAATTGATGCGCACCGCAGGCGGCATTTTCTTTCTAAACAACGATTTCCACACACTTAACTTGTTTTCCAGAACATTTAACGAGATTTAGACATATTTGGACAAAATACTGCTGCAAAAAGCCGCATCCAAAGGTACTGACCATCTGTCAGTGGCTAGGTTGGTTGTCAAATACCGCATCAGTTCCTGTCCCATGCCTCTATATGCCTAGTAGCTATGTTGGCCAAAAAATAAACAGTTTTGAATGGAAAAACACAATATGGATTTTTCTGAAGAGGGCAGTTTTAGGGAGGAAATAGGAACTGTGGATACTGCAGTGTGTTAAGATAACCCATAAGAACACCATAATAGATGCGAAGATGTGTTTGAGAATGCTCGTTTAATATCTGTATCTTTTAGAAATTTTGCTATGTGTTTATGCTTTTTTTGATTTATTGGCACTTCTAAATAGTATAGGCCAAATGGGTCGGTCTATGGTGCACTTTTTAGGACCGTTTGTAGGTAGTTGTTAAGAACACTCGACGAAGCAACTGCGTCGTTCCGTTGATCTGCATTTATTTCACCGTATTACATTTCCCACTAATTTTATTTTAACAAACTGCACTAAATTTTTTTAAACTGTACTGAATCCTTTTATTGTAATTAATAAAAATTTCAACAAGATGATTAAATTAAAAAAAAGTTGCAAAATTTATAAATAAATAACGTGCCGTTAAGAAAACTAAAAAATATACTTCCGAAGATGCGCCAAAAACCCGACATTTGCGGATTTTGTTTTTATTTTTTTTGGCGTTATTGTTGAGAAATTTCAAGTACGAATGACATGAAAATGTTAAAGTAATTGTTGTTAGGTCTTTTTGTTTGTGTGTCTTTCTGTCTTTTTATCTGAGGAGAAGATCGGTATGCTACAATGTTAATAATTCCGGAAAAATAGTCAGTTTGGTTGGTAGGAGCACCGTTGATCTACCTATTCAGAATCATATTGTGTAGTACCATCTTTGTCGTTCCTTTACGGACCATATGAAAAAATAGAGTTGATGATCATTTCCCCGAAACCAAACCTCGTACTTAAAATTTCTCAACGCTATCTTGCAAAGCTCAAAAAGTGGCAACGAGAAAGTGACCTCCATTTTTTAAAAAATATCTTTGAATTTTTAACTTAGCAGCATGTTATTAAATTAAAAATTTTGCAACCATTTCATTTAATTTAATCGTCTTCGTATCTCTTGTGGTTTACAATATCCCCATATAGAATGAAGCGGGACCTACAAAAATAAAGAAGATATGTTCAACCTGTCAGTTTTTTCTTGCTTAAAACGGATGTAAATACGTATGGTATACCACAAAAATAATTTCGCAATATTAAAAATGTAGTATCTTAAATTGAAATTTAAGAGTTTGCGTCTTAACTCGAAATTTTGGCTCAAAATTCGTGCTTTATTTCCCAATTTTACCTAACTCTGGAAACTCTGGATATCTGAAAACAACTGGCGATAGGACAAAAATCCTAAAGTTGCACATGTTAAAGGCATGCATAACCTAGAATTATTTGTAACTGTTCAGGATGTCCCACAAATATGTGTAGAAAAATGAGGTTACGCAACATTATTTGTTGTGGTTACTGTGGTGTAATCCTAATAGTTTTTTTTGCCATATTGGGAATTTATGAATTCTATTGTTCAATGTGCAAAATGTTGTAAAATTATGATTGCTGGCAGAAATTTAACTATGGCCGTAAAATTTCGTAGGTAAATGGAAAACCACTGCAT